TGGGTTTTCAATACAGAAACATTGCAGCTATCTGACTTGCTAGTAGGCCCTTTCGTCTTTCCTGTGGGGGGAGTGACCAGGTGAGATTTCCCCCGAAGCAGCATGTTCTCCGGCCCTCGAAAGTGATGCAGTCCTGGAGCATCATCTTTAAGGAAATGGCACAGACCTGGGGCAGGTGCTGCTGTTCGCTTCGCTCTGCTTTATGGAGAGCACTTCCAGGCTTCCAGTTATGTATTTTGATGGCAGCATATGTTGTAATAAGTTCAGGCAACTTATTGTTAGGTATTGAGTTTATCATAATGAGTTAAAAAGAATCAGTGTTGACATTTAATTATTATATTGAATGGTGGAGTTTAATCCAGTAATTACAAGTGTTGCTGTATGTAGGGCTGGCGGTATAGCTCAGCAAACTAAGTGCTTACTTAAGTAAGTGTAGGGGCCAGGGTTTGATCCCTGGCACTGCATGCCACTCTGACCCCTGTCCCCGGGTGCACTGAGCTGGTGATGGAGTCCGGGCATGGTGACGCATGCCTGTAATCCCAGCACTAGGGAGGCACAAATCAGGAGGTTCACAAATCAGGAGTCTGAGCTGCATAGTGAGACCCTGCAAGAAAAAAAAAAGTATTGCTACACAATTAATTTACTAAATGATGTCCAAAGCTAACTGTTTGAGAATAATTATTTACAGTGGTGGCCAGCCACCATTTCCTCAGCTGTTTTGCAAGTTGACCAGTATTTTTCACTCTCAGTAATTCAAGATGTGAATATTTTACATGTTTTGATTCTTAGGACCATCTGAAGTAATGCCACTTCAATTTTCAGTTAGTATTTTTTGAAAACCAAACATAATATCATTATATGATGACCTCATAAAAACCATGAGCAAGGGCCTGGGGAGATAGCTTGGTAGAATAAGCGCTTGCCTGGCAAGTGCAAGGTCCTGAGTTTAATCCCTGGCACCAAAAAACAAAGAAACAAACAAACAAACAAAAAACATGAGTAGAAAGGTAGGTAGTCTGCTCAAAATTTTGTAACTCAGTGACAGCACAATTGGTTGTTTAAGAAGTCCTTAGGGCTGGCCTGATAGCTTAGCGGACTAAAGCGCCTGCTTAGGCAGAGCATAGCAGCCAGGGTTCAGTCCCCTGCATGCCGGCTCCACCCCTGGGCATGCTGAGATGGCGATTGAGACTGGGCGTGGTAACATATGCCTTGTAATCCCAGCACTTGGGAGGCTGAAAACAGGAGAATCACTACGAGTCCAATCTACATAGTGAGGCCCTGTAGACGCTGCAGACCCTGCCCTAAATACAGGAAGGAAAAAAAAGGAAGTCCTAAGATTTTAGAGGCTGGAGTATAAGTTGGTGGTAGCCATATGTGCGGGCCTCTGGATTGCAGGCCCGGCACTACAGCAAAGAAAAGGTGTTATAAAATTATGAAATATGAACAACTATAGAAAATCTTGAGACTAGTTCAGTAGTTTGTTTTTACTTGATTTCTCTGTTAAGTCATGTGACCATCCTTGAGCCAATTTTGTTGCCCTAAACACAATGTCTTGTTGTTGTTGTGTTTGAACATTTAACCCTCTTTCCCTTTGTTTGGGCAAAAGAATAGGCTGCTAAATGATTTTTTTTTTTTTCCGAATGCAGTTTTGTGTTCTTCAGCTGTATCACTGGTATCTTACTGTGACCCCCCAGCTAGATTAGAGGCAGCGTGAGGCCTAGGAACTTGCCCTCTGAGTTGTCTTCTGTATTCTGCCTGAAGGTTGGTAGGCAGAGATTCCATCCCCTTGGTTATCTGTGGGGAGAAAATGCGTCCTGAGTGAACTCCCGCAAAGGTAAATGCTTCATAATGCAATAATGATTCCCCACCCTGGAATTTGCACTTTTCCAGAGAGCTGCCATCTGTTTAAAAGCCATGATTCCAGTCTCTGTTTTGCACTGATAGATGTGTTTTAAGACTTTTTTCAGTAGATTACTTTGCATTTATGATTAAGATTGTAAATGACTTGATGAGGATATGAATTGCTGCCTATGAGTCCATATGTACAGACAGAATTTGTGTTTTGTAAAAAACTTTAAAAACATGCTTGATTATAAAAATGAATGAAAATAAACCAGCCAGCTACCTGCAAAGTTAATGTAAGTAGAAGAGAAGGAAGTCTAAACAGAGGCAGACTACTAAAGCAAAACTAAAACACCTCTGAGCTTGATAATACAGTTCTTTACACATCAAAATTGAATCATCCAGGAGGCGTTCTGCAGCTCTCAACCTTAGGTGAGCAGAGGAGGTATCTGTATCTTGACATATGAAATATGACTTCACTATCAGTTAATTTTAGAGTTGTGAAAGTAAATTGTTACCTGCACTACGCCGAAAACACCAGCATATAGAGTTGCCACTTGAGAGGATTTGGAGGTGTTACTCGGCTCATTCATTACATCAGAACAACCTAGTTTAAATGCAGAAAGCTAAATTAAGGTAGAAATGACTTGGAGAGAACGATAAGGGTAAGCTAAATGGACTTTTGTCCACAATGGACAAAATTAATTTCGCTCCAGAACAGTTTTAAGGTGGTAATTCTTTTTATAAATGTAGGAACAAATAAATAACGTGACTATGGGCTCCAGGGTGAAAGTTTTAAAGTCCGTTACGCCTTGAGGGCCAGTCATTGGGCCCTCTGGTTGCCCTTCTTTGTTAGCTTTCTCTGAGGCTGTCTCACTGCATATCAGAGGTTGGAGTCATCCTTCCTCTTAGTACATTTTAATAGAAAACCTTTGATGTATAAAGGGAACTTTGGGTGTTTTTTGTTTTTGTTTGTTTTTGTGTGTGTGTGTGTGTGTGTGTGTGTGTGTGCATGCAGGGTCTCATTACACAGCTCAGACTTGTAGTGATCTTCCTGATTTTTGCTTCCCTAGTGCTGAGATTACAGGCGTGCGCCACCACGCCCAGACTCCATCAGCAGCTCAGCGCACCCGGGGTGGGGCCAGCATGCATGTGGTGCCAGGGATTGAACCCTGGCCCCTGTGCTTACACGAGCAAGTGCTTAGTCCACTGAGCTGTATCGCTGGCCCTGAACTTTGGGTGTATTAACTGAGTTGTTTGTTTTTTGCCACCAATAATATATTTGTCTTGTTCTGGAATGGTTTTGTTTTAAAATTCTTACGCATTTACATGTGTTGCAGAAAGACCAGTTAATACTACTTTTTTGAGGTTAGCCATATATTGATTAAAATTTTTTTTTAAAGTTTATTTATTTATTTTGTGTGTGTGTGGCCAGCTCAGCCCACCAGGGGGCGGGGCTGGCTGGCATGTGGTGCTGGGGGTTTGAACCGAGGTCCCTGTGCTTTGCTTAGCTTAGCTTGTTCTAAGTGGGTGCTTTAGCCCACTGAGCCATCTCACCAGCCCTGATTAAATTTTTTAATCTTAAAATTCCTTAGGTAAACAGTAGGGGTCACAAAGCAGTTCCTTCCAGTTACTTTTAAGAAATCAGATAAAGTTTCCTACCGTGTGGTATTAATGACTAAAGTCCTATGCATATATTCTACAGGCTATTTTCTGTCATATTTCTAAGGTGAGACAGTCTTTTTGCCTTCTTGTATAATCTGGTACACAACGAATACCAACTGCGTCATGTTTTATTGCTTACTTGCCCTTTACTGTGATTTTCATTATAAAGGTTTTAAGAAATATTAGTGAAATTGGCAGCTTTTAAAGAGAGTTATAAACAATGGTTTTGTTGTAATGTTTTATTGGCTTATAGCTTGTGATAAGTATAATTGATTTCTTATCCTAGAAAAAGTGTTCCCTTTTGGTATGTGTACCTCAAATAAGATGGTAGAGAGTCTGCGTGTGGTGGGGCATATCTGTAATCCCAGCACTGGGAAGGCTGAAAACTGGAGGATCACTACGAATCTGTGCTGTGTAGTGAAATCCTGTACCACATACATTAAAAAATAAAAATGAAAGATGGTAGATAGCATATAAAAGTGCAATTTAAAACATTTAAAATAAAGGCATTTTTTTTAATAATGAAGAATAAGAATCTGATTGAGAAATTGTAGTTACAGGAGTTTATATACTACTTTGAATAACCCTAAAGCCCCTAACTGGGTATT